AGGCTGCTTGTCTGCACAGAAAACGTCCGTACATTTTCGACCAAACACATGGCTGCTAACAGGTTGATTTGATAAATCAATGTTACGGGCCTAAAACGGACTATCTGCCGGGGAACGCAGGCCATTTGACATTTACAGCTGTGAGCAGGCGGTGCTATTTACAGATCAAGGCAGGAACATGACTGGATCATGCACGTAACGGTCAGCGAGAGTGGTAAAATAAGGCTATGAGCTGGTTAAAATGGACTACCCGCGAATGTAAAACTTCTTTCGATCCTCCAGAAGGCTCTGGAATTTGTCGATGGCGGATCTTTCATACAACGACAGCTGCTCGTGCAGACCAGTGCTGAAAGGCAAAATGTAGAAGAATAAACACAGTGTTCAGAAGACAGCGCACTAGAGTAAAGGGGGCAAAATATGTAGATAGTTGTAATTCAGCAACTTTGTCTTCCGCTTCGCTGCAATGCGTCTCAACGCGCCGGTAAAGCGCCGGATAACAACTCGAAAACGGTACACCCGTTTATCTGCACCGAACTCGTCTAATTGGTAAAATAGCCACACAGCGGACATAACAGTCAGTCGTCGATAAATATTCACCCGTCCGCTAAGGGAGCTCGTCTGTTCCGCTCTGCCTCGGGCCTCGACAGAAGCCTTAGCAGCTGGAAGTATAGGCAGATAAGGGAGACTGGAATGGCCATTTCTGGCTTATTAGTCGTCGTCAGCCAGTCATACGCAGAACCAAGTTATGTCCCACCCGAGCCTCGGGTTTGGCTGGCTGGCTGACGACGGCTAATAGGCCAGAAATGGCCATTTCCCTCTCTCTTGTCTTCGCCGGCAATACTATCTACCTAGTAACAGTCAGCAGCCAACCTCATGCGAAATTAACAAAAATTTTAATACGCGTTTTAGATGCTGAATGATTACTTGAGTTGAATATTACGATTTATAATCTTGGAAAGTATCCCAATGTATTTCAGATACACCAGGGTGCCAGCTTTCGAATAAAAATCTTTCTAACCTTCTGAATAAATCCCACAAAGCAAAAAATGATTACTCAAGTAGGGTGCGTTTTTGTTATGTATTTTAGAAACCCTTACGAATTCAAATATATTATGGCAAAATAAGCATACATATTATTTATTATACTCAATTGATAGGGAACTACGTCATTGTGAAGACTTTTATTCGTAGAAAAGTTTAAAAAAGGTTTCTAATTGTGAAACGTTTTAAGACTATATGAGGTCCATTCGGTTATTATTGACCTCTCTGAAGTATACGGCAAAAACCACATCCATTGCAAAACTGTGTGGACAGGATATATTATCTTCTTAATGACATAAAGTATGATATTTCTTCCACGAAAGGGGTACAGCTTGTAAACTGAAAACTCTAAATGACAGATCAGGCTCCAAATTCTTCGAGGAATAAAAAACTTTTTCTAAAACCTAAACCTATTTTGCTTTTAAACATAGCATGTAAAGAAGAAGAACAAAAAAGAACAACGAAGATTTTCAGTCTACTGAAGTACTCATTCTTCATTTAAAACGCATGTTAAAGTTTTCGTCAACTCAGCATAAGATCAATCACTGATTACAGCTCCATAAACAGTAATAACCGTCATTTAGTGTTTATGATCCGTAGGCACAGATATAAAAAGCACAAAAAGACAGTAACTGACCTTTGAAGTGTCTTTATAATGTACTGTACATTGTTCATCTGGAAGACCAGTTTCTGAATGTCCTCGGGGTAGTTCTCCGACTTCCTGTCTATGTTC